TGATGATGCGGTTTTTATTGGAGAATGGAGTGATTCTAACCATCATAATATTGTTAGAATCCTTCAATGTTTTTTCTTGGCTTCAGGTCTTTATATAAATCTTTAAAAATGTAGGATCTTGGGGATCGGTGTTAGAGTTGAAGATGTTGAGGAAGCTGCTTCTTTAATCGGTTGTGCTGCTATGACTTGACCTTTTATGTTTCTTGGTGTTCAGGTGGGTGGTTCTATGGCCCGGTTAAATGCTTGGAGTGAAGCTTACCAAAAAGGTGGTTGCTAGATTGTCGAAATGGAAAGTTAAAGCCTTATCTATTGGAGGCAGACTCACTCTTTTGAAACCGGTGTTGGATTCAGTTCCAACTTATTACTTATATATTTTTAAGGCTCCTATTGGTATTTTGGCTAAGTTGGAGTCGTTGAGAAGGAATTTATTTCTTGGTGCTGATATGGGTGATAAGAAGTTGTCCTGCATTAGTTAGGATAAGGTTTTGGCCTCCAGGGAGAATGGTGGTCTTGATGTTAATAGCTTCTCTGCTGTCAATAGAGCTCTCCTTTTTAAATGGGTGTGACGATTTTTGAATCACCCTAATGCTTTGTGGGCCCGGGCGATTAAGGCTATTCATGGTGATGATGGTAATTTGCATTCTATATCTCCTTCTTATAAATCAGTTTAGACGGAAATAGTGGCTTCTATGCACCATTTAAATTCTAAAGGTGTTCAGTTGCTTTCTTTTTGTAAGAGATTGGTGGGTAATGGTGAGTCGACTCTCTTTTGGAAGGATACTTGGTTAGAAAATGCTCCTTTATGGTCTAGATTTTTGAGGCTGTTCTCTCTAGAATTGAATAAGCATGTGACGGTTGCGCAAAAAATCTCTAATATGTTTTTTTCTTCTTTTAGAAGAGAGTCGAGAGATGGACCGAGAGGGAGCAGAGTGATACGCTTCTTGCTCTTTTGGAGTTGGTCTCATTGACTCAGGTTCATATAGGTGGGTCTGGACCTTATCTGCTATAAGAGATTTTTCTGTGGCTTCAGCTCGGGCTCACATTGATGTTTCTAGGTTGCCTTCGTCTTCTATGGTTACTAGATGGGTTCGTATTCTTCACATTAAACTCAACATTTTCGCTTAGAGATTAGCTAGAGACGTTTCGCCTTCACGTCTCTTTCTTTCAAGAAGAGGGATGGAGATGACTTCGTTGAATTGCCCAATTTGTGGTAATGGTGTTGATGCGGCCAATCACTTATTCTTCTCTTACTCGTTTGCCTTGGAAGTTCAAGAGAGAGTTCTTAGTTGGTGGGGTATAGACATGTCTCTGTTGTTTTCTTATGAAGATTGGATTTCGTTGTTTTTGGCTCTGTTTATTTCGTCTCTTAAAAAATTGTTCCTAGAAGCAGTTTTTGTAGTTACTTGGTGGCACATTTGGAATTTTAGGAACACGATCCTCTTTGATAGTATTATGCCAAAGAAGTCTCTTGTTTTTGATATTATTGTCTTAAGCTCTTTTAATTGGTGTCAAAGTAGGTATAAGTTTAAGTTTAGTTGGTCGGGTTGGCTTCAAAGCCTTATGCTTACTCTTATATAATATACTTTTGGTTCATATGCTTGCTTCTTGCTAGTTTTGGTTTTTAATTGAATTTTTGCTGTTCTAAAAAAAACTTTCTAACTTTAAGACCAACTTTATTCTGCAAACTTAAACATTTTGGAAAGATTTATACTTTAAACTAAATTTGTATAACTCACGTAAAATTGACGTGAGAGGGATGTTATAATTATTTTATATTCGTTGTTTAGATAATTAGATGTATAGGTTGGACCGGCATGTTTGGATTTGGAGCCCATACCTAGATTGCTCGAAATTTTAAACTCCAATATTTTTTAATAACATCTTGTTAGTTAGTTGATAAGTTTGGTGGCATGGCAAATGTGTATGAGGAAGTGGGCCGTGGGCGCTCAACGACATGTCATGGACAATTTTTATATGAAAATAAGACTTTATTTCATGGCCCAAGTAAATTAGTTAACAAAATAGAGTAAGTGGCTGTCTTTTTTTTTTTTTTTTTTTTTTTTTTTTTTTTTTTTTTTTTTTTTTTTTTTTTTTTTCGTAAGGCAAAATATCTGCAGTCTGTGGACCATATCTGTAGACCTCTGCAGCAGAAGAGGTGAACCAAACGTCTGCAGTCTGAAAAAAAAAACTGTTTGTTTTTTAACATCTGCAGACTGCTAAAATAAACTAAAATCTAAATAAACTGGTTTTTTTTGAACTACAAAGTGATTTTTAATGTATTTATGACTTTGTTATAAATAATTAACAAATCTAAATCAACTTTTATGTATTATTGTACAAAAAGTGAAAATAAAAATTGTACAAATTAACGTATATATTTGATAAAAACCAACAATTTTGGTCGTAAAGTTATGCCTAAACATTGTAATTAGGAATCAAAGAATTTGATATATAAATGGATGTTTTCAATTAAATAAATTAAAAATGTGCCATAGATATTTTTTTAAGAAATTGACGATGTTGCATTAAATAATGTTTTATAAAATTTGGAACAAAACATATAAGAAAAATTGTTTTTTTCATATTTATATAAACAAAATCAACGACCATTATTGTAATAAATTTTTATTTATAAAATTGTCAAAAATATTATGTTTGTGTCGCAAAACTTTTTTTTTTAAGTATTGTAATTTTTTTTTTCAAATTGTTTATCACTAATAAAGTTGGAATAAATATAAATTCAAAAAAACTAAAAAAAAAAATAAATAAAGTATATGCGTTTTCTTAGGTTAGAAAATGTCTGAAGATGTTAGAAGACTCTGGTCCACATCTTTGCCAAGAAGAGGGCGCACAGACATTTTTAGGTCTGCAGTCTTCAAAAAAACAAACAATCTGCGAAGGCTAATGTCTGCGCGTGGTTAGCGCCGCGCAGACAGAAGAGACCAAGAAGATCTGCGGACAAAAAACAAACACCACCTAAGTTATTAAAAATCTTAGAAATCCACAAAATTTAAAATTTTAACCAATTCTTTTTGTATTATGAACATATAGTTTTTTTGAAAGGTAACTTCCTTCGCCAGGGTTTGCAAGCCAAATATAGATCGTCAGGCCCGACTTAGGAAGAGGGCAAACTGGGCTATTGCCCAAGGCCCATAGCAACCTGGGGGCGCCATATTTATATCAATATGTATTTAATAAAATCGTCAAATGTTACTACATTTTGCAAAGTAGCCTTCAGCATACTTGGTATGAGCATCTTCTATTTATTGAGAGACCTGGGTTCAACTCCCTGTAGTTGCATGCATCTTTTTACTGATATTCTTTTTACTGATATTATTTAACCTTTGACATACAAAAAGAATAAGAACTTCACGTTTGACATACAAAAAGAATAAGAACTTCTAGTATCTTACAGGCTAACCTTTTGTTTAACAGAGTTCAAACCCTTAATTGTTTTTTTTTTTCTATATGTACATTACTTTTTTTATATAATGTATATTAACGTTATGTCCTATAAAAAAATAAAAATAATAATAACACATAGTCCAAATGGTTTAAATGTTTGATTTTATTAGATTGTTATGGGATAGTATTGATTTTGGCATTTTCCTATTTATTTTATTTAAAATACATTTGAAATTATTTACATATAAATCTACAAAATAATATTTTTTTGTAATAAATTACTTTTATTTACGATCCGTAGACTTGTCTATTACCAAAAGGCGTAGGCTTGTCTATTACCAAAAGGCTTCGAAAGAAATTAACTTAGTTCTAATTATTATATAACTTTTTGTAATCTTAAGGGCATTTTTTTCGTTTTGTCCTGGGTCCCAAATATCTTAGAATCGGCCCTGTAGATCGTTGTCTAACTGATCCAATAATAGATCAAAACCAAATCGGTCTAGAACGAGATCGGTCCGAAAAAGGGCTAGATAAGAAAAGGACCAGACTTTTCTTAAACACGTCCCAAACAAACTTGAAAAACTTCGAGACCGGTTGGAGACCGATCCTAAGAAAACCAAAAACTTAAACTTATACTTTACAACTTTAGGCTTAACTGAAAGCTAGTTAGCTGCAAAAGATTTAACTCGCTTTTGCCAAGATCCTTCAACCCATCAATGTGAATCAATATTGTCATTTTTTCTTACTTTTTTTTTTTCTTTCCATTTTTCTTTTATTACATTTTAATATATCAATTATATTAAAGCGTAATATATCATTTATGTGTTAATCATATATTTGTTAACAGAGAAACTAAAACCAAAAGGAAACCCAAAAGTTTAGAAACCAAACTGAAAAAACCATAACGTATAATTGAAAAAGGCACACATAAGAACAATGATACAAGACCGAAAAATATCGAGACCGGCCGCAAAAAGAACAGTTTGAAATAAGACCGTCCAAGGTCGATCTAAACAAAGTGGAACTTAGTGAGACTGATATGAAAAGAGACTAGATCAGCCCGAGAGTAATACAAAATGTACAGTTGGGATAATAAATTTTTGTTTTCATTTATTTGAACTTTAAGTATGTGATAATAATATACTATTCAAGTGACTGTTTTGATAATGTGTAGTATATATATGTTTTGAGAAATTTCATAAATTGTGAATTCTATTTGGTTTGGCCAGAATATTGTATGATTACTGATTCTTTAAAAGGGTAGCACCAACATCTGGATGGAATGTTTTTTCTTTTTGCTGTCGTTTCGACCTGACCCGAACCGATTTTAAACATTTAAACCTGCCTCGATCATATAACTAATTAATATCCCCCCAACAATGAAAAGTCCTGGATCGGTCTCTGTTTGAGTGTTTGGTGATTAAAAAAAAGCATGAAACTCACATGTATATTTGAACTGCAAAATGATGTTTGTAGAAGATCATTTTGTAAAACAAATGTTTGTTTTCTCAAATCATAAATCTAAAAACAATAACATATTGAAAACCCATAAAATATGATAAGTAGAACATGCAGCATACCAATCTAACCAAAACCTACAACTGATTGCATTTAGTTGGAATGAATGACAAGGTCTCCTTCTCGAGATCATGAACCACCATCATATTCTGCTGTTGAATATTTCCAAATATCGAAATTCCACTTGAACCCCCCATTGCCAAACACGCCACTCCAGCATTCGTATCTCCGATCATGTAATTCTCCCCTGGCAAATCCAAACTCGCACCATCAAAATGAAACACTAGCTTGGGAATCTCGATCGACATCTCCCCTGAACCATCATCTGAAGGTAACTCAAAACATAAATCCAAACCAGTCGAACCCGAGTTATCTACATTCAGATTCGTTTGTGAAACAAATTCTTTCTTCAGCATATCGAAAGCAGATTCTTCAAGATACGTAATGGTTGTACCCGAATCGATGATGACCCCACCGGTCCCATCTGAATTGATTGCGAAAGTCGATTTCTTGATAGGTAAATCAACGTTTCCGACAGAAATACCTTGGAGTGAAAGGTAGTAAAAGGATGGTTGTGATGGGTTTTTGATCAATGGAGTGGTGAAAACGCTATCATTTGCTATTTGGCTTTCTAAAGATCCCATTACGAGAGTACTTGATGGGTTTCCTGATGATGTATCATCATTAATGGAGGTTAAACAATAAGAAAATGTTGACTTTTTGAGCTGTGAAACTAAAGACAAAGGTCCCCTTCCTAACCCTACTAACCCAGCACCTTGATTGAACCCACTACCTTCGTTATCTTCTCCACAACCAAACCCGACCGACGGCACGGACACCTTATCGAACATAAACGTCTCTGTTGCTAAAATCCCTTGTGTCGACGAGTAATCCCCGTAAGAATACAAATACTCACAGCCATCTGATCCACAATCCGAAGTTGGTAACGCCTTGCATAAACTATTCGAACATGAGACCTTAGAGAATGACGATGACTTCTTCGGATCAAAAACGGGTGTTGGTGCATCAAAACATTTGGTGCATGGCTTACATTGTGTCCAAATGAGGTCACTACCAGTATCCATAATGGCAGAGTACGTTTCTGGGGGAGTTCCGATAGCCAAATTCATCAAGAACTCTCCGTTTCCAGCATGAACGGGTGACGTTACTTGTGAACTTGACTCAACCGATAATCTAGCCATCATGTTATTGATGAGTCTTTCTAACCGGAGGTTACCTCTCTTTACACCGAGTTGTAAACGCTCAAACTTCGTCATATTTTTCCCGGAATCAACATGCGTGAGGGCCACCCTAAACCCGGCTTCATTTTGGTCAGTGACATGATTGTGCAGCACGCGCCTGGACGTGGAAAGGGTTGGGGAAAGGAAAAGCAGTTGCAGACAGAAGATGGTGAATAGAAGGGTAGAAAATAAGAGACGTACGGAAGCCATGAAAGAGGATAAGAATCTCTATACGCAATATATATGAATATGGAAGTTTGATCCAACAATTTCCCCTAGATTACGGTTGGGAAGGTGAAGGGGAAATGGTCTAAAGAGGAAGAATAGATCGCAGAATATATTGGAGAAAAAAGCTGGTAAAGATGGTTTGAACTTTGAACTTGAGTCATACAAGTAGGTGTATCTATATATATATTATATATATTATATATATATATATATATATATATATATATCTATATATATATATATATATATATATATATATATATATATATATATATATATATATATATATATATATATGGAGGGGTTCAGAGAACCAATATGTGTGAAGGAACCGAGGAACCTGTTAAGATAGTTGGATCAAAAAAATTAACAGCCATGGAATTTGAGTTGTAAAAGTGTGAAAAACAATAGTGTGCAGCTGATTATAACTAAACACGGAACTTAAGGGGGCCTTTTCGTCAACCTAAAACTTATTAATTCTCACGGTGAATTAACGACGTTAGTTCATCTGTATCACATCTCAGTGAAATCGATTTTACCTTCTCATTGAAAGCGATCTTTTACTTCACCGAAGAACATCGATTTCAAACGCATCGCTGGCGACGATGCAGTCAATATCCACAGTCAATCTTGCCGAATAGTTCGTAAAAATGAATCTAGAAGATATATTTGACTGCTATTCATTTCCCATTATCTCATTTAATGCATTTTAAACATTAAATTTTCCGATAGATAAATTTTAAAACCAAAAATCTAAACTATCTGTTACATTATGTATTCGATGAATCTGTGAATACTATTTTATTAACAAAATCGTTTTAGACTGATTTGAAACCCTCAGATGATGAACTTTTAAGAATTTGTATATATAACGAAAACCTAATGATTTAAATTTCTTCAAATCGATACAGAAATCATGAATATCTATATTACAAACCGTAATTTACTAAAACTTTGTGAATCTAACTCGAATCTCAGTTTATTAACTAAATCGAAACCCTAATTTCATGAACTTTTGTGAATTTGTATAATTACCAAAAACCTAATGATTTAAATTTCTTCAAATCGATACAGAAATCATGAATATCTAAATTACAAACCGTAATTTCCTAAAACTTTGTGAATCTAAGTGGTTTCTGAGTTTATTCATTAAATTGAAAAACTAATTTCACATTGTGAATTCACAGTGTGCTTTGTGATTTACATTTGATTATTTCAAAAAAATTCAATGTTTCTGAGTATTACATTTTTTGACAATTCACAAAGTGAATCATGATTACATATCAATTTAACATATCATTGATTCAAATTGTGAATTCACAGGTGCTTTATCATTTACATTTGATTTTTTTTCATATTGTGTAAATTCACATTGAGCATCTATGTTTAATTGATATTGTATCTCTTATTGTGCTTCTCTTTGTAATTTTATAAAGAGTTGCATTGGTAATATTTTGATTCACAATGAATTCACATTGTGAATAAATGTTATGTTAAATTCATCTGTAATCCTGATTCACATTGTGAATTATATGAATAAATCATAACTTTCATATCATGAAACTGATGTTTGAATTAATTTATTAATCAAAAACAAGAAATGAAGAAAAGATCAACGAAAAAAAGGATAATAAGAAAAGAATGAAATTGACAAGAAATCTAAAAGATGTTCTACCTTCAACTACAAGTGAAAAAATTGAAGATATTCAAGATAAAAAAACAGGTTAGAACATTCACATTCAGATTAAAATAACTAAATATCTAATCATATACTACACACTTATTAAAAAAAAACTAATTCACAATGTGAATCTTTGACGTAACTCATATCCTTACAGATTCACAATGTGAATCTCTTAAAAAAATTTTGCAAGTTGATTACCACTTTCACTTGTTTGCACTATGCACACAATACGTGAAAAGATTCACCATGTGTATGTGAACATCACTTGGTGAACCTCAAACTGTTTTGGTATGAAATGTAGAGATTCACATTGTGAATCTTCGATGTATATATGAAATTCTCAAAGATTTACAATGTGAATCTCTTAAAGAATTTTCTGCAAGTTAATTACCACTTTCGCTTGTTTTCACTATGTATAAAATAAGTGAAAAAAATTCACCATGTGTATGTGTACATCACTTGGTGAATTTCAAACTGTTTTCGTATGAAATGCATAAATTCACAATGTGAATCTTTTATGTAAGTCATAGCCTCACAGATTCACAATGTGAATCTCTTAAAAAAAATTTGTAAGTTGATTAACACTTTCGTTTGTTGTAACTATGCACACAATACGTGAAAAGATTCACCATGTGTATGTGTAAATCACTTGGTGAACCTCAAAATATTTTGCTATAAAATGCATAAATTCATAATGTGAATTTTTGATGTATAACTCACATTCTCACATATTCAAAATGTGAATCTCTTAAATTTTTTTTTTTTTGCAAGTTGATTGCCACTGTCACTTGTTTTCACTATGCACACAATACGTGAAACGATTCACAATGTGTTTGTGTACATCACTTGGTGAACCTCAAACTGTTTTGGTGTGAAATGCAGAGATTCACAATGTGAATCTTCGATGTATATCTCACATTCACACAGATTCACAATGTGAATCTCTTAAAAAAAATTGCAAGTTGATTACCACTTTTGCTTATTTTCACTATGCACACAATACGTGATAATATTCACCATGTGTATGTGTACATCAAGAGGTGAACCTCAAACTGTTTTGGTATGAAATGCATAAATTCACAATGTGAATCTTCGATGTATATCTCACATTCACACAGATTCACAATGTGAATCTCTTAAAAAAAATTGCAAGTTGATTACCATGTTCGCTTGTTTTCACTATGCACACAATACGTGAAAAGATTCACCATGTGTACGTGTATGTACATCACTTGGTGAAACTCAAACTGTTTTGGTATGAAATGCATAAATTCACAATGTGAATCTTCGATGTATATCTCACATTCTCACAGATTCACAATGTGAATCTCTTTAAAAAAAATTTGCAAGTTGATTATCACTTTCGCTTTGTTTTCACTATGCACAAAATAAGTGAAAAGATTCAGCATGTGTACATGTACGTACATCACTTGGTGAATCTCAAACTTTTTTGGTATGAAATGTAGAGATTCACATTGTGAATCTTCGATGTATATCTCACATTCTCACAGATTCACAATGTGAATCTCTTAAAAAAATTGTGCAAGGTGATTACAACTTTCGCTTGTTTTCACTATGCACAAAATAAGTGAAAAGATTCACCATGTGTATGTGTACATCACTTGGTGAACATCAAACTGTTTTGGTATGAAATGCATAAATTCACAATGTGAATCTTTGATGTAACTCATAGCCTCACAAATTCACAATGTGAATTTCTAAAAGTTTTTGCAATTTGATCATCACATGTTGAATTATATATATTTTGACATGTATTTCATAATATTACGTATATTTTTGACATTGACATTAAAAATTTCACATTGTGTAGTTGAAGGTTCAAAAAAATATACCAAAAACACCGCAAGGAGAACCATGGTGGAAATTGTTAATTAATTAAGAAAAAATGAAGATGAAAAGACTCGTGATGAAAACGTTGAAAAAGAAAAAACTTTAGAAGGTGATAAGATTCAAAAAAAAAAGAAAACAAAAAAATTGATGAAGCAAGATGAATTTGTTTTGAAGACACTTGAAAAGAAAACAATACAAGGTTAGTATTTATAAAATTATAATTTACTTTAATATATAAAATCAGTTATCATTAATGTTTTTTTTAAATGAACAGAAATCATATAAAGTCCAAGATTTCAAAAAACAAAAACGAAAAGTCGATGAAGCAAGAGAAATTTGTTTTCAAGACACCTGAAAAGAAAACAACTCAATGTTAGTATTTATAAAATTATAATTGAATTTGATATTATAAAATTAATTCTCATTAATTTTGTTAAAACATGAACAGAAATAAGACAGAGTCCAAGACTTAAAATGATTGAATACAAAAAATCTGTGACTCCTATAAAAGTTGATGATAGCCTTGTAAAGAAAGAATATGATGAAAAGGCAACATATTTGTTTATTACTATTCACATGTTTAATTTACAAAGTTATAAACAAATTCACATGTTTATTTTATGTATTATATTATATTTTGCAAAACAAATTCACATGTGAATATGTTGTATTGTTAGTTATTTTATAGTATATATGTTATAGTATGAGAAGCTGTCATGTAAGGGTCGAATTGTTGTAATTAGTCGAAGTATGTTTTGGACTCTTCGAATATTTTGTAATGTATTTTACTAGGGCACTTATATTCGAAGCTTTAGTGTCTATCCCTTAGTATATTTTTTTACGCTTTCAGTTCCCTATAAATAGGGTTATTTACTAGAGTTAGAGAAGAACTTTTACAGACTTGTCTCTTTTACTTTGTAAAGAATTCGAAAGCGTAATAGAGCATAACAGATCATATTTACATTCTGTGTTCAAATCTCACATTCATACTTGAATTCATACTCTGATTAATTCATTACTCGATTCTTTGGTTCATCAATTGGTATCAGAGCAGGAATCATATCTCTGATCTAATTTTCACGTTATTCAAAAGGTTTTTGAATCAACTTTTTGATTCAAAAGTTTCCGCACTTTTTGAAAGTGAAAAATTGTCTAGATCTTAGTCTGTGATTCGATTCTGCATTTGAATTGTTGAATCGAGTGTTATTCTCATCAATTTGATTTAATTCATCCACTTTGTTTTCAAATTCACAAGTCTTTTCAAACTTCTCGAAATCATCTTCCGTACAACAATGACGAGTTTCAATCTCAATTCAATGACGTCGTTTTCTCATCTGTTAGGATCATCAACCAAAATTCCAATGCTAATCCCTGAATACTATGATCAGTGGGCTGATCGGATGCAGAATTATCTGAATGGTCTTGATGAAGAATTATGGACATGTAT